TTGTTGCATGTTTGTATGTGTTATTGTTTTGCTCAGGAAAATACTAAAAATCCCACAGGAGTGTCCCTAAACCTCAACACTCATTCAGAATATGTAGATTTATGAAAATGCAAGATTATGCAAATTGTAAACGTTCCCTTGAACCCCAGTCCCTAAAAATAAGCTGCCACTATTACATTTATAATCAAATTAAGTAGCAAAATCTTCAAACTGTCACGCTTTGAATGCTAAACTATAAACTGTAGTAGAGCCAATTATGCTAGTGCTATCTTAGCAGGCTAATAACACACCACGGAACAGGTTGGATTCTGTCTTCAACACCAGCCACTCGACTTCACTCCATCAGATCTGAATCTTCTAAACTTGCAGATATCTAACCTGTGTTGTGGCGTATTAAACTGTTTTTTCTGATGCTACCAAGGACATGTGGCAACACAAGGACATGTAAAGGACACATAGTAACACACGACAAGCAACAAGCACAGTGGTTTACAAAGCTGTAGTAAGCTAAGCTAATTATTCAGCAGCTACTATGAATTATTGAGTAACTACTCTGAATCATTCAACAACTATGAATTTTTAAGTACTATGAATTATTTAGTAACTATGAATTATTCAGTAACTACTGTGAAATATTCAACAACTGCTATGAATTAATCAGTAATTATTTTGAAATATTCAACAACCGCTATAAATTATTAAGTAATATGAGTTATTCAGTAACTACTATAATTTATTCAGTAGCAACTCCTATTAATCAGTAACTGCTATGAATTATTCAGTATGTACTATGAATTATTCAGTAACTGCTATGAATTATTCAGTAAGTACTATGAATTATTCAGTAACTAATATGAATTATTCAGTAAGTACTATGAATTATTCAGTAAGTACTATGAATTATTCAGTAACTAATATGAATTATTCAGCAACTCCTATGAATTATTTAGTAACTTCTATGAACTATTAAGTACTATGAATTATTCCGTAACTGCTATAAATTATTCAGTAAGTATTATGAATTATTCGGTAACTACTATGACTTATTCAATAATTACTATGAATTATTCATTAACTAGGGGCTAATATCAATCCATATGAAAACCTAAAAATGCAAGATACCTGAAATTCAGTGCAACAGCCGAAGAAAACTGTGCTTCCTGAGCTGAAAGAAACAGGCTTTGATTAATACTGACCTGAATCTGAGTCGATTTCTCTTTCAAATGCACCTAAACTCAAAAACAGCACTCCTCGTGTATCTCTGCTCTGCCTCTATCTGATTTATTATCACACAGATATTACCTGTTCATTTTCACTGGAATCGCATTTTGCTTCTTGTAAGCAAGTCCAGACATGAACACACATTTCAGGGAACCCACACACACACACACACACACACATATGCGTGTGCACAGGCTGTTGCTGGTCCTGCAAAAGCAAATCGTTATCTTCCTTCCCCAAACAGCTAACAGGAACATGATAAAATTCCAGAAGATTCCTTCACCAAACTGCTCAAAAGAAAAGACTGGCCTGCAACATCATACAGCCCTTTCAACCAAACAGATCTGCGGCCTGCAGACATTTCTTCAGAGAACATAACTTTAAATTCCTTCACTTTTACGGTGGCTCTGGTAGATAGCAAGTATGCTAGCTAGCACAATAGCTAATGTAGCTTGTTGTGAGTTCATCTAGATGAAGCTTTGGTAAGGCCCAATCCCATTTCACCCCTCGCCCCTACCACTGAGCCCTTAGCCCTGCATGTTCACGTCTAGGGGTAGGGTGTCCTGATTCTTGTTGAGATAGAGGGGTAGGGTGAAGTGTTTGACCCTCCAAACGGAGGATTTTTAGAGACTCCAAACAGAGAGTTATGAGAAAAAAAGAAAAGCGGCAAGATGGAGAACAAGAGACCAAAGAAACCCACAAATGTGAGAATTTTCTCTGTTAAGAACTACAACAACCACTGTATTAACTTAGTTTAATGTCATTTCAGTGTATTACGGTCCTTTTCTTCGTTACAGTCATAAAAATCACTAGTTGTATGCTGCTGTCTCGGTAGCTAGCTAAATTTCCTGTTCCACCTACCTGCTTTCCTGCTACCATTTAAGGTGCAACGGGAACTTTTCCCCAGCTTTATTCGCAGGGACTACGCTTACTATATATCTTCTTTCAACGCTTGTTATTTAAAGCTGTGTGGAACCAGACAGGCTTTGGAATTGACTTTTGTCCTATTTAATGCAGCTAATAATAAGACTACGTTAAAATTCTCTACTAAGCACTCGAGGCTCAGCCTGGACTTGCACAGCATCTTGTGAATGTCCTTGTTATTAAAAACAGCGCTTCTTGATTAGTCTGTAATCCAGTTAATCCATTAAATATATCCACTTTCAACACCTCACACTCCCTTACACTTTAGGCCACATCCACAGTTTGCAATGCCTTAGAAAGTACATTGCCAGCAGAATCATATCGGTATCAGCAGCTGTCAAAAAAATCAGCTGTGCAGCTTTGATCCATATTTGATTACATATTTACTGCACTCTGGAAGAGCAATGCTGGGTTACTGCACTAAAATATTTGCATTTTATTCACTTCATGCATTGGTAAACCTACATATCGCTGCTGTTGGAACAAAACCTTGTATCTCCATTTTTGTCGTTTTTCAGTTTTTGACCTAATTTGAAAATGCCTGTTGTTCTTTACATTGTGTGTAAATTTCATGATGAATGGACCAAAAGAAACGGCCCAAAATGACTTGGAAAGACATCTGGTTCCACTGACTTCCATTAAAAGTAATGTATGTTTTTTCCTTCTCCTGTAAAGTTACCATTTTGGAGATACATGGTTTTGTTCCAACAGCAGCGATAAACAAATGTTCTTCTTCAGGTGGATTTTGTCCCAGTTTCTATATTTTACAAGTGTGCATCACATATAATCGGCACTCAGCCCGAGCCATGACATCGTCTTAGGAAGTTCACTGCCGGCTATATCTTATCAATATCATAAGGTGGAGGCTTTTAAGTGCTTTAGTACATTCAAACTGCTGCATGTAATTTACTTGACACCACATCTGAAATGAACACATATTACATCTGTTATTGCCAAAAGTAAGTAAAAAAATATTCACATTTAAACCCAGTAAATTCAATGTGCTGCTTTTTGGTTTCCATGTGTGGCCCTTATGCTGGAGTGCAATGCTAGACTTGCCAAAAACAGGCAGCCGTTTGACTCCAGCTCAGCACAATAACAGCGCAACTGCGGCACGAAGCATTTGCATGCCAAATTCTGCAAACAAGACACTTCGGGACCAGCAGAAACTTCTGAACGTCTGCCTGTCTGTGTGCAGCCCAGGTTCTAACAATTCGTCCTACCCATCGAGCATGTGCATATCATTACTATAGCAAAGTAACTTTTTAAAATGTTTTTAATGTTTGTGATGTTAATTCAGCCTTACTTTAAGTCTATAGTACATGACTTTTTTTAGGATTTAACTTTCTGTTAGGATTAAAACATGATGGCTTTGTTTTCTAACGGGAATTATCCCCTACCTTACCTTACCTTAAAAGATTTCTAATTTCCTGTAGGACACCTTTAGTTCCTATTAGGAAACTATCAAATGCATCTAGGAATCAGAACCATCAGGATCTTTTACAATGTGATATCAACCCATCAGGAAAACACACAAAAAATTAAATGTTTCTGTTGGTTGTTCGTGGTTTTGTCTTTTGTGTTTTGGCTTTTCTTGATATGTTGATATCACAATGTAAATGAACAGGTGATTCCAGATGGTTTTATTATAAAACCTTAAGGGGTTCTACACAAAACTAGTGCTCTCCAATAGTAATCATTGAAGGGGAACGCCACCAATTTTTCAAAATCTTCCACGTAATTAAATGGTTAAGAGTGGTTTGGTGTGAAATGCTCTGTTCTAGAGAAACTTACTGAGTCAGAACTGTTCACAGTGGTGGTGATAGGAACCAGACGTCCACCTCTAAAAGCTCCCTCACAGAAAGTTCCTACATGAAATGGTTATGAATTCACTGCCTGATGACTGAGACACTGTTTTATGATAGTTTTGAGCAGAGTATGTTTAAAATCCAGTCATGGTGGAGGGATACATAATATGCAGGGCGCTGTGAGGCAAAATAGTCCCCAAAGAAAACTTATTATTTCAGATTTTCCACTATTTTCCATCATCAACATTCCATATAAACTCAGAAGACTCGTGTAGGTTCACTGGTGGTTCTGGATAGTGAATAAAATGTCTATATTTGTGTTGTAGTCATGGCGACCCCTGGTTCCTATCACCACCACTGTAAAGACATCTGAACCATTTCACACCAAACCACTCTGAATCACTCTGTTTACATCTCACACACTGAATTATTCACCAGTGAACCTACACGTGTCTTATGAGCTTTTATATGGAATGTTGATGATGGGAAAATTCTTTGGGGACTATTTTGCCTCACAGCACCCTGCATGTATCCCTCCACCATGAATGGAGTAAAATAAATTAGTTAAAACACATTTTAAGCCAAAACTATCGTCTCAGACATCAGTCAGGGTATTAAAAACTTTCTGTGAGGGAGCTTTTAGAGGGGGACGTCTGGTTCCCATCACCACCACTGTGAACAATCCTGACTCTGTAAGTTTATCTAGAACGGAGCGTTCTACACCAAACCACTCTGAATGAACTTTAATCACAAACACTGAATTATGCAGATATTTTGGAAAATTGGTGGAGTTCCCCTTTAAGCCAATTCCCATAATGAAGCAAAATAATGGCTCTAATAATTTAAGAACTTATAACTTTTAATGGTTTCTATGGTTTCTATTAGAGCACAAGTTCTTTTTATCCCTGGCACGGAAGGAGGGAGGGACGGAGGGGGGCTATGACTCACAGGCTGGACCACCATAGATAGCATGCACCGAGACGGAGAAATGCTGCCAAATGCGCGAGCGCGGCGGCTGCAGCTGTGAGCCCACAGCGCGTTCCTTACCTCTCAGTGGAAGATGCTCGAATCTCCTGCGTGTCTCTTTCTCTCCGTGTGTCTGCAGGTGTCAGTCTGCCTCAGCCCTTCTCGCCCCGGCCATGAGACATGATCATCCCCCTCCAGAAAAGCCGAGACAGGCGCTCCGATTCACCGCGAGACTTCGCCGACACGGCGCTGAGAGAGAGGGACGCTCTGGCGCTGCTCGCTGCGTTGGGGAGCGGTCAGTTCAGCCTCCTCTCGGAGCTCCAGTCGCTCGCATGGCGCTTCTTGGCTGCTCTGGGTGACACTTGTGCTCTTCTCTGAACACACACACACACACTACACACACACACACACACACACACTGTTGGCAGCGCGGGTGTGTGCGGATTAATCCGGCTGGGTCCTAGCGCCGGTCAAACTCAGGACTCCAGAGCGCTTCAACAGGTTGCAGCAAAAGGCTGCTCTCCAATACGATGGAGACTACACTGGGGTTCTTTAGTAAAGCAAATGGTTCTGTATAGAACCCTGAACGCTTTGCATGCCTAAGTGGATCTGTACATGGTGAAATGGTTCATTAGATCAATGTGTAACACCAAAAAGGGTTCTGCTATTCTGCTATTGTGATGATGCCAAACTTGTAACAACAGAAGAACCCTTTGTGGTGGTATATAGAACCATTTTCCTTACTGAAGAACCCCTGAAGAACCATTGGTATTGCAGATTCTACCTACAGGAGCTTTTATGAATCCCATTCTAAATCCACAGGCATTAATACGGAGTTGGTCCCCCTTTGCAGCTCTAACAGCTTCCACTCTTCTGGGAAGCTTTCTACAAGATTCCGGAGAGTCTCTGTGGGAGTCTCTGCTCATTCATCCAGAAGAGCATTAGTGAGGTCAGACACTGATGTTGGACGAGAGGGTCTGGCTCACAATCTCCATTCTAGTTTATCCCAAAGGTGTTGGATGGGGTTGAGGTCAGGGCTCTGTGAGGGCCAGTCAAGTTCTTCCACACCAGACTCACCCAGCCATGACTTTATGGAGCTGCTTTGTGCACTGGGTCTCAGTCACGCTGGAACAGGAAATGTTCTTCCCCAAACTGTTCACACAAAGTTTGAAGCGAACAGTTGTACTTCGCTGGAACTAAGGGCTGTGCTCTATGCTCCTCAGCAATCGGTGACCCAGTCTGTAACTTTACATGGTCTGACACTTCGTGGCTGAGTTGCTGTGGTTCATAAAAGCTTCCACTTTTCAATAATACACTCAGAGTTGATCATGGAAAATCTAGGAGGAAAGAAATTTCACGAACTGACTTGATGCAGTGGTGGCGTCCAATTACAGCACCACGCTCTAATTCAGTGAGCTCTTTAGATCCATTCTTTCACTAATGTGTGTAAAGGCAGGCTGCATGGCTAGGTGCTTGATTTTATACACCTGTGGCAATAGGACTGAATGAAACACCTGAATTCAGTGATTAAGAGGTGTGTCCCAATACTTTTGTCCAGCGGTCGGCCACATGTGGCTCAGGAGCCGCATGCAGCTCTTTTACTGCCCTGTTGCGGCTCCACAGCTGAATTAGATTTGTAGGTAAAAATAAAATAATCCTCCTTTACAATAAAATACAGCTCTGCTGATCATTCAACACAGTTTAACAATAAATGGTCTTAAACTCTGGAGTTAATGTAGAACTGCTAATTCACCCTTTAACCCTGAAGATCAGCGCAGACTGCTGGTCACCATAGCAACACAGACAACCTCAATCTCATCTAGCTAGTAGCTAACAAAAAGACAAAGAGAGAGATTTAAGACGAACATCAGTAATTTGGAGACTAATGGACTTATTTGCATTTATAGTCACTCCAGCTAGGTTTCCTGATACGTTTAATCTGCAACAAGAAACTGACAAACACTAAAAAGTCGCGAAGCTGAAGTCAGTTTCTCATTCGCCAGCTTCTTGTTAAAATTTTCCCGTTCCACCTTAAATGATGCCACTGTTACATTCTGGTGCCTCACATACCATTTAAGGAAAACTCGAACACGAAGCCGGTGAATGAGAAGCGACTTCAGCCTCATAAAAAGTCGAACGTTGAGAGACATTTTACAAGAAACTGTTCTACTTTTGAGGAAAAGTTTCCTGCCAGAGATGTGAGAAAAGCAGCTATAGCTGAGTTAAAGCTTAAAGCAGAGCAAAGTAAGTCTGTATTTTCATTTATATTATACTTTTAGCCTATACTAGTACATCAGCACATACTGAGACATATTTATAGCCAAGATGCTAAAGTGTTACTTAAATAAATGAATATAAAATGTTGTGGCTCCCGAGTCAGATCGATTTTTGTAAAAATGACAAAATGGCTCTTCTTAACATTTGGCTTGCCGACCCCTTGTTTTGTCCACATAATGTCTATGAAACTGATATAGTAAACTATGAGACTGATTAATTAATGAGACTGATTAATATTTAGACACATAAAATATTAATATTGTCTAGCAAAACTCCTACACTAGGTTACAACTAAATTTTTTAACGGGTAATCGGGACTCTGTAAAGGAATGCATTTTTAAAGTTACCCCCTCAACCCTGCATACACGTTTGCAAGTTCAGATCATACCTACAACATACGGTGGTAGTACGAGAGGAGTCTGACTGAGAGGGGAGGGACCTCTGAGAACTTGGGATGAAGCTAGAAGACCGAACCCCACACTTTTTAATTGGTAGGACTGACATAGGACTGAGGAACAGGAAGGAGATGGGATGGTGGTGGGGATTGCGAAGACTTTGTCACAGGACATGGAAGGTAGAAATGGGAATTTATAGGCCATTACATGGGAAGGCGGATGTGTTTCAGGCATGGTCCCACCCCCAAAATTTCAGTTTTTCCAGAACTTTATTTAATGCACTGATGAGCCAAAACATGAATACTCACAAATGAAGTGAATAACGTTGCACTGTGAACAGCCATTTCCAGAAGATATTATACAATTGAAAACAGTTGGTTCCCTTAGTCAATGAGTTGGATGTGGGAGAAATCGGCAGACATGAAGACCTGGCAACTTTGACGAGGGTAGACTCATTAAGACCAGACAACTGGGTCCAAGCATCTCCAAAATGTCAAGGCTTGTAGGGTGCTCCTTGTCAGCAGTGGCGAGCACCTGCCAACAGCAGTCCGAAGAGGACAAACCACAAACCAGCGACAGGTTGCCAAAGGGTAATCAAGGTCCGACGAAGGCTCTTCTGTCTGGTCCGAATTGACAGAAGGGCTACTGTGGCACAAATCACAGACATTTGTGATAATAGTTACAGGAGGAATGTGTCACGTCACAGTTGACCACACCCTGTTGCAAATGGGGCTGCGTGGCCGCAGACTGGTCGGAGTGCTCATCCTAATCCCTGATGACTGTTGAAAGCACCAACAACAGACATGTGATCATCTGAACTGGACTTTGGAGCAATGGAAAGAGGTCACCTGGTCCGATGAGGCCCGTTGTCTTTTATGCCAAGTGGACAGCCAGGTACACATCCTTTAAGTACAGAAGTGATGGCACCAGGATGCACTCTGGGAACATGGTGGAGGGAGTATGATGCCCTGGACAATGTCTTGCTGGGAAACTCTGGGTCCAGGCATTCATGTGGACATCAGTTTGACAAGTGCCACCTACCTAAACATTGTTTCAAATCAGGTACGCTCCATCATGGCAATGGCATTCCCCATTGTCTGCGGCCTCTTTCAGTAGGATAATGCACCCTGCCACACTGAACAGATTTTGAACAGTTTGATAAGCCTCTAGGTGTTGCCCTGGCCTTCAAATTTCCCAGATCTCAATCCAATTGAGCATCTATGGGATGTGCTGGAGCAACAAGCCCGACAACTGACAGGACTGAACGGATCTGCTGCTACCGTTGTACCGCAGTGCACCTTATTCTTCTCTCTCTTGAACAAATACAACGAACTCTGCAGGGTGGTAGATCTCCAGGACCAGGAAGAATGTCTTTTTTAGGGCTTTGTGGCTTTTTCAATTTGAGTGAGAGCTTTAGGAACTTTTTCCAGATCCTGAGAACGTTAGAAAGTTCCTTCACCTTCACCATGGTTGCTACTTGTTGCGTGAAACCTTCTCAGCCAACGTCTTTTATAATGACTCCACATGCAATTTGCACAAGAATAATTTTGTTTTTATCTTTGCAGCATTGAAATTTGGAACTTTTTTTGGTTCATATTTATTAGTCAAAAGACAGCAGGTGTGTAAATCTGAAGGACATATGTGCACTAGAACTTTATTCAGTAACAAAAGCAAAAGTGTCTGTATACTTGCTTCTCCGTGAAATATGACAGAGAAAGCACACTTAATAAGCTTAACAAGCTTGAAGTTTAAAATGATCTAAAATCTGCATTCCCGCCCACCCGTTGTCATGGATACGCCATTTTTCTGCGCAAACACCAGGGGGCAACATAAACTGCTCAGCGGTTTGCAGTTAATGGTTTGTCATGAAGATGATGACCCACTACAAAAAGACAGGCCAGCATAAAAAGAGTCAAAAGCTTGCATGGTTTCCTCCTGTGGAAAGGCTACACTTGTGCTCCAGCTGCGGGCATTCAAACTAAGCTCTGATCTGACCGGCCATCAGAGCATGGCCTTTTTCATTTGTGGTCTCCATGGAAACATTAGAGAAACCAAAAGGCCTTTACTTGTTTATCATTGGCCAATTAGCTTCCAGAGACAGACCTTAGGACTGATCCAGTTCTTTTTTGTGTTTGCTTACACAATGAATGCTATGCTAAAAGTTATGCTAAATGGGCAGTAGGCTTAAATTAAGTCTCAGTATGTCTCGGTCATGAGGACACCATGCAGTGTGTTTTCCCTGCAGCAACACACCTGGTTTAAGTCACCAGGTAATTAAATTATCTGGGATCCACCCACAAATGTGTTCTTCTGTAGCTGCTGTTGGACAAGCTTTCCAAAATGTAGGCAATTGTTTATTCGGCCTAATGAGAAACTGTAGAACAGACTCAGTTTATATCACAATACCTACATTTAGAGCCAGTTATTCATTCAGCCAAATGAGAAACTATAGAACAGACTCGGTTTATATCACAATACCTACATTTAGAGTCGGTTATTCATTCAGCCTAATGAGAAACTGTAGAACAGACTCAGTTTATATCACAATACCTACATTTAGTCAGTTATTCATTCAGCCTAATGAGAAACTATAGAACAGACTCGGTTTATATCACAATACCTACATTTAGAGCCGGTTATTCATTCAGCCTAATGAGAAACTGTAGAACAGACTCAGTTTATATCACAATACCTATATTTAGAGTCGGTTATTCATTCAGCCTAATGAGAAACTGTAGAACAGACACAGTTTATATCACAATACCTACATTTAGAGTCGGTTATTCATTCAACCTAATGAGAAACTGTAGAACAGACTCAGTTTATATCACAATACCTACATTTAGAGTCGGTTATTCATTCAACCTAATGAGAAACTGTAGAACAGACTCAGTTTATATCACAATACCTACATTTAGAGTCGGTTATTCATTCAGCC